GGAAATGACACAGAAGGCTGGGTTCATGGCCACCACTTCCCAATGACGTCCTGACCTGTAGGAGACAAGGGGGAACTGAGGGAGGAGACTTTATTTTCAGTGGCACAAAAGGACTGTTGCAGGTGTTGTCTGAGCTGTGCGGACAGAGGAAGATATGAGCATTCGTGCATGCTGTTTGTGTAAAAGTTGAAGTTCCAACACAGCAGAAGGCAATTACACTTCATGGCATCCCTACTGTGCTGGGTCTGCAACCCACCTGCACTGATCTCTGCACCCAGAAAGACATGGTTCCCACAAATCTGCCCACGAACCACTGGTCAGATGCAGGTCCCCCAGATCCAATGACAATTGGTGACATCACCCCCAGAACAGGTCTGGTACAATACCAGGTGAGCATGCTCAGAAGGATCTATGACTGTGTCTCCCATTCCCATACTCAATCCACCAAGAAAATGAGCAAACCCCACAGGAAACTGCAGAGGGCTTCCCTTTAAAAATTGACTGACGGCTTCTGTGCTGGTGTCTTGCAGGTATTTTGATGTACTTGAAGCATTTCTGTTTGTTTCCTCTGGGAACCAGCACAGGTCACACAGCAGTCTCAAAGCCAGTAGTGTCAAAACAAGGAACATGTACCATGAAAACTACAGCAGGTGCTGCTGTGACACCAACCAGGAAGGGAAGCTTTTGAAGACTCTGTTGAAACAACACACAACACAGAGGGATATAAAAGCCCTGGAGGCCGAGAGCTCCACACTCACTCACTCACTCACTCACACCCTCCTCCTCTACAACTTCACCTCCTCCCACCCCACCCCGCACCATGGCTGCTTCCAACATGTCTGTCTGCTCTAATGAGCTAAGCTATGGCAGCAGTGTCTGCCTGCCTGGGTCCTCTGAGTCTTGTACCGACTCCTCCTGGGAGGTGGACAACTGCTCAGAAAGCTGCTGCGAGCCACCCCGCTGTGCCCCCACCTGCTGCCAGTCCACCTGCTGCACCCCCACCTGCTGTGCCCCGGCTCCCTGCCAGACCCTCATCTGCACCCCTGTGAGCTGTGTGTCCAGCCCCTGCCAATCACTCTGTACCAGCCCCTGTGTACCCTCCTGTTGCCAGCAGTTTAATTGCCAACTAGTATGCTGTGTTCCCTTCCCCTATCAGCAGACCTGCTGCAAGCCTGTGTGCTGTGAGCCCATCTGCTGTGAGCCGGTTTGCTGCAAGCCCGTTTGTTGTGAGCCTGTCTGCTGCAAGTCCGTCTGTTACAAGTCTGTCTGCTGTAAGCCTGTCTGCTGTATGCCTATCTGCTGCAAGCCTGTCTGCTGTGTCCCTGTCTGCTGTGGGGCCAGCCCCTGCCCTGCCCCCTCATGCTGCCAGCCCTCTACCTGTACAACCTCCTGCTGTAAACCCTCCTCCTGTGTGTCCCTCATCTGCCAACCTGTGTGCAAGCCCGCCTGCTGTGTGTCCTCCTCCTCCTGCTGTGCCCCTGCCTCCTCTAGTGTGTCCCTGCTCTGCCACCCCTTGTGCAAGCCTGCCTGCTGTGGCTCTTCCTGGGGCCAGAATTCCTGCTGCTGAATGGGCACCAACCCTCCGGATCCTCTCTGGCTTTCTCCTGACATCTTTGGAGCCAGAGCCCAATCTGGGGTCTCTTCTTGCTCCCAGAGTGACTTTACCCTCCAACTGGCTGTGCTGAGTCCTTAGGCTCCTAGGTGTATTCCCTCTCCTTCTGTCATTCATTCAGTGACCTCTTCTCAATCCTTTCTCAATGTTCCACATGAGTGACCTGTCTGCCAGCAAATAAAAGCATTGTCCCTCCCTCTCAGGAGGCCTCCTGTGCATATCTGGAAAAGGCCAATGTATGCAGCTTTGAGACTGGGGATGTTTTGGGATCCTGAGCTTCTTACATGTGGCATAACCATCTGATATGGATGACCAGTTCTACCCCACTGTCAAGGTCACCTTCTTGGGAATTTCAGGGAGGAAACCTTCACACTGATAGGGAGGCACAGAGAGACTGGGGTCGCCTTGCCTCGGGGGGATGGTCTCTACCTGGGACACTGGTGGTCCCTAATCAGAGGCGGTGTTTTTGTCAGTGGCTAGAGCTCGCAGACCTCAGATGTCCCCCAGTAACAATGCAGACAAACTGCTTGGTGACATAATAATGACAAGACCATAGTCAGAAGGAAGAAATACCTTGCAGGAGAGTGTCTCACTGGAGCCTGGTGCTGCTCAGATGCCCAGGGTGAGAAATCATGGCTCCCCAAGACATGGGGATCCCAAGCATGTCACTGTCCTGGGCCTGGTTCTCAGGACATCCTGTCCCTCCCCCAGGCCTGAAACCAAGCTGCGATTCTGTGTGCATGCCTGCATCTACTGGCCCAGTCTTGGGACACCTGATCCACTCTCACTCCTGATCCACTCCACCTCCCTCACCACTTTCTCCTCTCCCTCTGCCCCCTACTCTATTTCCACCCTCCACGCAGCCCAGGCCCCCTCTCTCCTGACTTCTCCCATCCCCATTCTGCATCCTCTCTCTCAGCCCAGTCCTCTCTGCACATAGCTCTAACTGAGCTTGGCTGGCCTTTCAGAAGTGGTCAACTGATTAAAACCAACAACATATTTTGATGGGGCATGAAGGCCTTTTCTGAGTGCCTTTTCTGAGTGCCTCATCCTTTGTCCCCTTGGCAGCCCCTTCCCACCAGGCTGTGCTCTCTGCAATCCTGGGTGGCAGGCTATATCCCCCTGCATGCCATGTTGGAGGCCTGTCATGGGTTCCAGAGACCTCCTGTTTCTGGGGGAGAGAGCTATTCATGCAGCTCCAAGGCAGTTTCAAACCATATATATTTTGTTGTGGAAGCTCTGGTGGCATAATGCCTAAGGCATTTGACTGCTAACCAGAAGGTTGGTGGTTCAAACCAACCAGCCACTCCTCGGAAGGAAGGTTGAGCAACGTACTTCTCTGGTGATTCCACCTCAGAAACCCAAGGAGGGGTTGCTATGAGTTGGACCTGACTTGACAGCAGTGTCTTTTTTTATATTTGTTGTGAGCTACCCTGGAGCTGACTCGAGATGACCTTGTGTATGACAGAGCAAAACATTACCTAGTCCTTCATCCTGATCACAATTGTCAGCAGGTTCTCTCTCGTCTCCTGGAATTCTCACTGAATACATGTTAACTTTCATTCTCTAGCCTATCATAGCTTTGATTTTTTGTCTCTTTGTCCTTCATTTGGCCTAATTTCCTCTGACCTTTCAGTTAACCAATTCTCTCTACTGTTATAGATAAACACTTAGCTTAATTTCAGTTATTTTATTTTTTACTTCCAGTAGTTCTGTTTGTATTATTTGTTCCAATCTGCTAGGTCACTTTTTAGAGGTTCTTACTCTTTGAAAAATATTTTAAAGCCAATATTTACTTTCTTTAGGTGTTTATGTATAAGTGTTTATATGTGTGCGTGACAATTTTAATACTTGAAGTCTTTGGTTTCATTTCTTTTTTTATTTATTATTAATTTCTGCTTGTTCTTATTCAGGATGCCTTGTTCCCTTGTTTCCTCAGTTATTTTGGACTAAATAATGGTCCCTAGGAGTCCCTGAGTGGCACAAATGATTAAGTGCTTGGCCACTAAGAAAAGGCTGTCAGTGGGAGTCCATCCAGAGGTACCTCAGAAGAAAGACCTGGTAATCTACATTCAAAAGATCCGACCCACTGAACGCAGGTTTTTTTTTGTTTTTTTTTCAGTTTACTGATCCTCGTGTTTGTGGACATTTGCCCATTTGTAGGCATTGTGTGTGTGTGTGTGTGTGTGTCTGTGTGAAGCAAATTCATGTTCCATACACCACTTCATACACAATTTGATTAATGACATTGACTGCAATTGCCCACAATATAACAGCTCCCTTCCATCTTCCTCCCTGTCCTTCTTCTCTCTGTCCTTCTTTCCCATGCATCTCCCTGATTTATCTCCCTGTGCAAATACTGCCCTTCTGTTGTCCCATGATTGATCATTCTAAGGAGTGTATTTACCTGGTGTAAACATTCATCCTATATGCCTATGTATTATTTGGCTGGAAGCCAGGGGAGTGAGTTCAAGTCTAGCCCTGAAGGGTAACCAGGGGCCATAGTCTCAGGGGTCTCACTAGGCTCTATCAGACCAGTAACCGGGTTGTTTTTTTATGATTTTGAATTCTGTTTCATATTGTTTTCCTACTCTGTCCAGGATCTCTTGTACTGATCTCTTTCTGAGTGGTTGACAGTGGTAGCTGGGCACCATCTTATTCTTCTGGTCTCATGGTTGTACAGGCCGAGGTTTGCATGGTCCACTAGTCTTTTGACGAAGAATGAGGATCATCTCTGTGACCACTCATAACTTCTCCTGAATATGGTCTCTTAGGTCCCTGCCTGGCCCCAGGGTCACAGCCTGATCTACCTGGCTGACTTCTATGGCACTGCCTGGCTTTACCAACAGGGAGTGCCTCTGAGCCTCATCACACACCCTTGCTTCACATCTGCCTCCTCCAACTTAAATCCTCTCCTCATGTTCACATCCTGACCCAAGGCTGCCATGTGCAGGACAACAGCCTGTTGGCTGTGGAGACAGGTTCAAATCTGGGTCTCCCTAATGAATGGGACGATCAGAGAAAGGTGGCATATAGGAACATTCTGCCTCCTCCTGACAGCAGGGGAGAGGGGTCCTCTCAGGTATCTCCTCTCCCATCCTCAGTCCTCAGTCTCCTCTCTGCCCTCAGCACCACAGTGTGGTCATGGACTACAAAGCTGCCAGGAAGGTCCATCTTCAAATGATGTTCCCCTGAAACACAGCACTCATCCCTAACTCTCTCCCAGTCCCAAGACAGGCCAAACCTATCCTGGGTCAATTCCTGCAGATAGGAACAGGGTGCATATCAGGGAGTCCCCTCAGTGATTACTGGCACCAGGCACCAAATACCTAAGGGAGAAGGCCATGGGGTCAGTTGTCCAGAGGTGGCCCTGCCTCTCTGTGGTCACTGCTATAGCCATATTCAGGTCAGGGTTGCAGCTCATCCCTTGCTGATATCTAAGGTTCATGAACTGAGCCAGGACATCACTCAGCAACAGACCTGGCCTAATAAGTGTCCTCCTGTCTCAAAACACCAATGATAGAGACAGCTCCTGGGATCTTGCTTCAGGTAAAAGACACCTTGAAAAAAATAAATAAATAAAAGTAAAACACACCTTGAGATATATAAAAGCCCCCACAGTCCAGAGCTCTTCATTCATTCATGTACTCACACACTTCTCTACCACCTAATCATATGCCAGCTGCCCCCCTACCTGTGCATCCACCATGTCTGTCTGCTCCAGGGACTTGAGCAATGGGAGTTGCATCTGCCTATCTGGTGCCTGTGAGTCTTGCACCAGCTCCCCCTGGCAGGTGGATGACTGTCCAGAGAGATGCTGTGAGCCCCTGATGCTGTGAGTCCCCCTGCTGTGCCCCCACCTGCTGCCAGTACACCGGTCTGCCTCTACCTGCTATACCTCCACATGCTGTGTTTTGGCCCCCTCCCTAATCTCATCTGTACCCCTGTGAGCTGGGTGTGTCCAGCTCCTGCTGCTAGGAGACCTGTGTGTCCAGACCCTGCCCATTGGTCTTCACCAGCTCTAGCGCTTCCTCTTGATGCCTGCAGGCTACCTGCCAGTTGCATGCCTTACACCTACTTGCTGACCACAGGCCTGTCTGCTGCAAGCCTGTTTGGTGCCTGCCTATCTGCTGTGCTTCTAGCCTTCTTCCTATGGTGCCTGCTGCTATGAACTCTCTTAGTGTGTGCAAATTGTCCTGCTGTGTGCCCACCTCCTCCTCCTCCTGTGCCCAAACCCCCTCCTGGGTCTTCTTCCTCAGCTGCCCCATGTGCCCCTGACAAGCCTATTGTGTCTCCATCTCAGCCCAGACATCCTACTGCTCACCAGTGCATCCTCCCAGGGCCAGCTGGGTTCTGACCTACCTGGAAATTTGTGACCTCACACTCCTGTCTTCAATTACTCTGCTACCATTTAGACCAGTCCTTGAGTCTGCCATGCTAGCCTTGCCCCTGAGCTAGAGATGTGGAATCCGGGAAAACTCACACTATAATTTCAGTGGTCATCCTAGAAACCCAGGCTTTTTCCTTGCTGTGGCATCCTTTTCAGCTCTGATGACCTGGCCTTCTTCTGGAAAAATCTATGACCTCACTTCCTTTGCCTTTTAGATTTTCATGTTTTGACTTTGCAAGCCCATATGTAGCAGTGCAGACCCAGTAGCTTGTGAAGGATTCAAACTTTGACAATCAGAGTATTAACTCTACAGGAGATAAACTGGGGACTCCATCAGGGCCTCTGTACTGCAGTCCTGAGTGGATGGCTTCCTTCCCACACAGGCATGTTCTCATCACCTCACAATTTCCCTGTCACCCACTGCCCATGGCAATTGTCCAGGCCATTCTGCTGGTCCCTCCTCACCAGGCTCTATGCCCTCGGGCCATGCCCACACAGCCTCCCAGGCATCACACAGAACTCCCCTGCTGTCCTCACTAGAAGGAAACACTTCAGACCTCCAGCT